CCAATCCACCCGGGCTTCATTGTTGCTGGGCGTTGCCGTGTCACGCTGAGCAGCATCGAGCAGGATGGGACGAGCAGGCGGGGGATGAAGATGGGATGAAACTAATGCTGAGCCGAGAGACGACAGGGAGAGGGCGATTTCGGTACGAGAAGACTAGATCGTAAGAGCGCTGACGGAGCGGGAAGATGGCGGCGGGGGGGGGTAATATTCTTCTAGTATTCTATGAATGTTAAAACTTCTTGAATGTATGCTGAACATGAAGAAATATTTAAAAGTAATAAAAGCAGTAGCGACGTCGGCGGGGAGAAGCAAGTTGCCAGTGCAGCTCGGCGGGCCGCGCCGCTCCGCGCCGTGCCGCGCGCGTGCGTTGCCTGCGACTGGGCTGCCCTTCCGCCTCCTGCAGTGGAAGAACGAGGAAGGCGCAGCTCGTTGACCTCGGAGAAGGAAGACGGGGGCGGGGGCGGGGACGGAGACAGGACTCCGCGCTTCCTCTGTTTACGCTCCCAGCGTTCTCCATGCGGAGCCGCTGCCGCTGTCGTCGTGTCGGTTCTGCCGCTGAGCGGAATCTCCTCGCAGCACCTTTGCACCCAACAAAGTTGAGCTCTTGAAAGGAGAATGAAAGTGATTTGAACACTGCAGATTGCAAGTATTGTGATTTAGAAGGTTGACTTGTCAGCCATAAGCGTTTAATTAGGAACAGCAAATCCATTCGTTCCATTTCTACACTGAGTGACAAGATGACCCATTTGTTCATGTGAGTACTAGTCACAAGTATTTTACCTGAAATATTCGCGTAAACTGGCTGTTCGAAATATCCCAGTTTAACGAAGGCATTTTCATGCTGCTCTCGTTTCCTCTCCGACATTAATGTACTGTCTAAAGTCTTAGGTCAAATTGACTTCACAATTTTTTCGATTTCTTAATTGTAGAAAAACAATTGTACAAACATAATATGTAATTCAATATTTGTAAGAAAAATGAGTTTTTAAAGAATCATAGATAGCACGGCAAGTCCCAGTTTCAAATATTTTTCATGGCTAACTATACTTTCATCGGACGTCGGACGATTAAATCTCACGAGGAAGTGTCGAAGCCATATAGTGCAAGGGCACCTGTACACGAAGCAAGGAGTGACAATTGAACGCTGTTTTTTTTTTGTTATGTTTTGTTATTTGTTATGTTGCCAGCAGTTGCTGACTGGCTGGGGCGTCCAAGCCAGGGGAGGAGAGAAGCTGGGGCGTCTTGCCCCCAGGTCCCGACTTAATTGAAGCCTCATTTCTTTTTTCATTCAAAAGAAATGAAAAATATATTTACCTCTAATCCAACGTCAACGCTCCAACTTATTTCTGATGTGTGGAGAAATTAATTATGTTTATGAATGGGGGGGGAAGAAACTTTCGTTTGAAATAAGGGGTCCTCTTGGATTAACTGCCTCATGCCTCTGATTTTCTCTGGGTGCCCCTTCTCTTTGGTCCCCCCTTCTTAGACTAACATTTCTTTAAGGGCGCCTTCCCACGTCGCGACGGCAGCGCGCTTCCGTCAAGACAGAGCACAGCTTTAAATGACTGCGGTCGACAGTCGCTGCGTTTTACCTGGTGCGGTCCCTTCGTTTGTCGTCGCCGGAGGGTCGGCGTAGAGCCCTGCCGCTTGACGGACACGCGCTGCCGTGGCTGCGTGGGAAGGCGCCCTAAGTGTGTCTCACTTTTCGAGATTTGCTTTAGAGACCGTAGGAATCAAAAACTGATTTCCACAGAGAGTCGCATTGCCTTACCACATTATTGGTAATCACGGTGGGAGGGTGGGGCGGCCAAATGATCGCTCCACGATTCTCTTCGACCCTCCGCTCCCTTCCTCCTCTCCCCCTCCCCAGCTCGTCCTCGCCGCCTCGAACGCTTATCAGCGGGTTCGCGATAAGGGGCGAGCTCCGCTGCCTGCTGCCGGCGCGGGCGCGTTCGCGTTCGCCTCCGACGCCGCTCTCGATTCCACCTCTGCCCACAATCGGCTTCAGACCAAAGCTGCAAACCAAAAGCCTCGGAAGCAAGGGGTGGGTGAAGCCAGCCCTAAATATATATCGCATCTCCAATAGAAAAGTGACACAAGTTCGAAATCGTCATTTTTCACCTAAAAGATGATAAGAGACTACCAGGAGGTACTGCTACTATTCTGAAGTTGATTTTGAATTAGTTCTATTACTGTCCGCTAGAAGGTGAATATTTGGTACAATCTATAACTAGTATTATAGAACTACGAAACTTAAAATTGCAATTTCTGAGAAATCAGAAATTCGCACTTGTGTCTCTTTTCTATTGGAGATGCCATATATTATTACAACAGTTGTCCTAATTATCCCGATGAAATCTGGAATGGAGAATTGTGTGTTAATAGCGGACTGCGAGGAGGCGATTTTTGTACCGCCATAAGCACCTATTTTTTTTAGTAGTACTAAAGAATATGAACTAAGTTTTCAGCATCTGGGCTTGCGTGAACCAATAACGTTACGAACCATCCACTTACATCGGAAACCGATACTCCGCCAGAGATAAAGTGTTAACTTGGAATCACGTGAGCCACGAAGTCACGATGTATAGATTTTTTTTATTTCCTGTACTTATAAACATAAGAGAAAGTACAGTAAATACTTATAGTACACTTAGTACACTTATTAACGTAAGAACAGAAAGTTCAGCGAATTTTCGACACAAAACTCTTAATGTCGGGCCCTGGCAACAAAAAAAGTGAATAAATCCAGTTGCTAAATATAGAAAAGAAAGCTTCTAAAACGTGGTGTAGCCAGAATCCGTGTTTTGTGCATCCTTCATACTGAAAAATCGATTGACGGCAAAACGTCTATACGTCCGACCGTCCATGCATAACGCTGGCGCATAAACCGCTCAACCGATTTTCTTCAAAATGGATATTCCCCATCCGTTCTGGCTGATGTCGCGGCCCCTGGAATTTGAAACTGATATTTTAGTTTTGGAGAGTACTTTACACGAATCCCCCCGTACATTTTTAAAATTTTCAGAAAAATTGCTCCAAATTTCTTTATTAAATTTTGCAAAGGACGTTTAAGAGAATTGCGTCGGTCCTTTTTTGAGTTACTTTCCCTATTTTTCGAAAATTGCAAAAAAATAATTAAAACCACAAAATTTAAGATGGAGATTTTTGCGTCAGACAAAGTATTTACAACATTAGTTCTTTAAAAAAGGTCATGTATATGTTTTTGAAAAAATGACTAAAGAAATTTTAAAACTTGCAAGTACGAGCTCGGCTGTGCAATTCAATGGCACCATTAGTTACTATCTCGTATATACGAAGTGATATACGTACTATAGAAGAAGTTACGTATGCTGCAGAAAATCATTACATAAACCTCGCCGGATACCGCTGTCTGTCCCTCCCTCTCTCCCTCCCTCCGCCCTCCCTCCTTCCTCCCTCCGTCTGTCCGTCCATTCCATTCGTCTGTCTTCCGTCGTCTGCCTGTGTTCCGTGTATCTGCCAGCCCTTGTCTCATTGGACGAAAGATGAGGTCGAAATATAAGAAATTCCAAATAGTGGTGACAATGTATGGCTAGAGTCTTCTCTAGATTTGCATTTGTTAAACTAGAGCTCTCCTAAACCACTAATTTTTATTCACTGATGAGCCCTAATGCTTTACATGTGATGGATTGGGAAAACGGCAAAATACCTACATTTGTTACACATACAACGAAACGTTGGGCAAACCGCTTCACTTGATTCCTTGTAACGTGCATCGCTGTGCCCCAAGCTCCCTCTAAAGAAGATTTAAAGTTGCAATTTTGGAAATCCGGGAATGTAATTAAAAATACAGATATATCATTGTTGCTACATCTCTCATACTTCTGTGGTCTCGCCAAAGCTATTCAACTCCCCTACCCTTCGTACTTGTGTGTTCCAACCATTTCATAGCCGAGACCTCTTCCTAGGCACTCTACCTTCAAATGTTTTGACAAAGAAATGACAATAAAAAATCGAAAGTGTATACTTTTGAATGTCCCACGTAATCTGTAGAAAAGGGCAGATGACAGAACACCGTTTGTAGACTCGTACATCAGAAAAGTTCTAGGAAAAATTCAGCAACATAATACTCAGGCGCAGTGGATCTTCCTGAGGAGGTGCGTCTGAGAGGAACAAGTGCTTTTTATTTAATGTTTTTAAATTATTTTTTTAAGATTCAAATTTTGGCTGTTTTAGTAAAGTATTGTAAAAACTTAAATATCTCTTACAGGAGTAAACAGCCCAAAGAAGAGAGGGGGGTCTTAAGCCTCCCGCTGGGTTTCGCTAATGGAGGTTCCGTAGTCTCGTGGTGTTTATGGAGTATGTCGTTCTATATACGAGATACCAAAGGTGGAACCTGATATCGCTTGTAGCAGATTTCACTTGTCCTATCACAGCATGGAAGTACCCCAGGGGTAGGTTGTATGTACTTTTCGCCCACGAGAACTGACATTTAGAAGGATATCCTATGTAACTTGTATTACTAACGTTCGCTTTCCATAAACGAAGGTGGAAATGGTCTACAATGTAAGATTTACGAAGTCGAAAAATATCTGTGTGATTTTTTTTCTTACCCTCACGGCCATTATGACCCGTGTCGCCTCCCCGACAAGCCACCGTCACCACCGTCGCCGATGCCGTCGTCACTCCCGCCCACACCGCTGCCAGCACTACCACCGGATTGCAGGAACCGCCGCGCCGCGCCGCGCCGACAGATTTATGGGTGCGTCGCTGCGCCGCCGGCTGCAGCCGCTGCGGCCTTCGCGCCGTCCCCATAGGAGGGCGCCGCGCGGCCGGGCCGGGCCGGGCCGGGCCCCGGCAGTGATACAACGAACGCGCGATGAGCGCTCGCTGCTCAGGGCGGCTCTTGCCATAAATGAAGGAGAGTTGACAGATTCGTGCTGTGATACACTTTCCCAAATCCTATTGATTTACGTTTTTAAAAGCAGATATGATCTGCGGGGCCAAACGAAGGGGAAGTAATGAAGTAAGTAATGCCTCGTCTTTCTCGCCTAAGAACAGTTCAAATGTATTTCTTCTTTTTACTCCTCCTCCTTCTCTTCCTCCTCCTTCTCCTCCTCTTATACTTCTCCGTACCGTTCAGTCCAATCCGTACTTTTGTAAATGGGAGATGAACCATATGCTATAGAAATCAGTCCAGAGATAGATGCAGAAGCAGACTAATCTCCTGCTTAGGGCCCCAGATGAAACCCGGCCACTATTGTATTTGTATTTATAATGGTTCAAAAAATTGTAAAATGAAAAACCATTTTATTAATAATAGTTTATCAGCCACACAAAAAAAATATTTTACTCGAATAAGGTAAGTAAAAGTACCGCACAAATATACAGACGAAAATAATTTAAAATTGTGTTATACATATATGGTGTTTAGGGATAACGAATTAAGCCTATAATTTTATTTTCGTGTTAATTATGATTGTGCATATTCAATGTTTTAATCACAAATAGGGGAACAAACATTTTCGTCGTGTTTTGCGGTCCTTTAAGATTTTATTCACACCGATCGCCCAGTCTGGATAATTAGAGTGGGGAAAGGATGGATGGCACGTTGTACTTGGATCATTGTTAAGTTTCTTTTCCGGTGACGGCCTGAAAATTATGTCACAAAAAAAAATAATAAAAAGGAAGGTCTAGGCAGAGCCGCCGGCCTCTAGAATTAACATCCAGGCAAAGTTGTACTGGGTACTTTCTTCAGTATCTACTTAGCTGGTGTCGAAGAATGTACCGCATTCGGAAATAGAGCTCAAGACTTCAGTCCAGAACTTGCACGGTTGTCATTTTCACCACTGTGTATTTTCTTGTTGAAACTGTAATACGATGTCGTCTTGTTACGTTGTGAAACTGTAATAAGATTTCAAAATCCATTATGATTTTTCCCCGTCATATCATGGGTACCTTTCAATCTCGAGGAGTTGTTTCATCCTCCTTGGTAACTAGGAGATTAACATATTTGAGAATTGGGTTATTCTCCGACGCATGTATTCGTCGATCGATATTTATCGGCATTGCTTATTGAAATAAAGGTTATTCGCGTTCAGGACTAGGGCAGTGGTAAGATGGCTCAGATGATGGTTACAATGCAAGCTAGATTTGCGGTTTAATGGTGTTCATGCCGGAATAGGCGTTCCATGGTTGACAAACTATAACGCACATTTAAGAGTTTCTACTTCATAAAAATGTGTTCATTCCAGTTGTAACAGCTTCAAACCTTTTTCTAAAAATTCGGATTTCACATTTCGGAAAACCTTATCTGATTAGCACAACATACTACTGAGATATCTTGACGATCCTTGGCAGCAAGTAATGCTCCAGAATAATTCCAGTTTTCACTAAAAATTGGATGGTGCAACTAAATAAGAATATGAACAGGGCTTCTTGTCATCCTAGGTCAGGGTTCGAAAAACTGATTTCATCTACGCTCGAAATATCCTCTTGGAATGCTCCTGGGAAGCTAATGCTCTTGTAGTGATGTATGATTGCTCTGGGCTGTATGAGAGCAACAGCATCTTTTCTTTAATGTCCTGTAAAAAACGCACCACTACCATTGACGTATGTATGTATGTATGTATGTATGTATGTATGTATGTTTGTTGCAAATATTAGAGTTTTGGATGTATGTTGCCAACGATTACATTTCTGTCCAATAAATTGTGTATATTTTCTGTATTACCAAGAAATAACGAATACCACATTAACCGTTCAAGTCGAATGTTATTTGAAAATATGGATGTGACTTCGCCAGGCCATTACAGAAGTTTAGAATATGAACGAATTCAAAAATGTTTGTAATTCTTTATTGCTACTGCAAGCCATCATCTTTTTTCATTTTCATATCACTGTTTTTGTTGTTACCACTGCATTGTTTCCTGCGAGTTACGACAGACGATGAATATGGCCAACATTTCAAATGCTTTTAGGAAAAAGAACAAGGAAAAGAAAGTACTCATACATTTGTGAAAAATTGTCCCTTAAAGATTAGTACCAAGTTCAATACCTGAGCTAGTCGCTAATGATAATAATAATTCGGCGGTGAAAGAACAATTTCTTCGAAAACAGGAGGAAGATGTGCTAAAGCTGGTCACCTTTAAATCTAACCTTACTCGATTCTTGTATTAGCCTGTATGAAAAGTAGAAATGGGTTATTCGACTTACGAGAGTAGAAACAAAAGGAAGTGTAATTCGGTTACGTCACTTTATTCATAATTTACATTAATCAATAAATTTAAAAAATAGGGTTTTTTGAAATTATAGCATGTTTAAAATGTTGAAATTTAATTTGTGCGAATGAAATGTAGTTATCATTTTATGCGATATACGCCAGCTTACTCATTGTAAGCTGGAATTTGTTTTTATATTGTAACCACACGTGGGCGCTAAAGTGTAGTGAAAATTCTCATGGGGGTTCCAAAAGGTAGTAACTCGAGTTGCATTCGCTGAATTTCTATAGGGCGCCAAGCGCAATTCAAACCTGCTCTCTCTGGGTGCCGTCTGTTGAGAACCTCGGGGGTGGACAGCTCTGAGTCGGAGAGAGATGCAGGTGTTTGCTATTTGTACTGTTAATTAGTTCTGAATTTGATAAAAATGTATGACATTAATTTGCCAATATTATAATGGAGGCATCACTGACCAAATTCCGCTGCCCGATGAATTGTCAACCTTTGTGCGTACAGAACCTTCAGTAGTTGGTCTAGTGTGTTATCTTAATTTTATTATCTTAATTATCTTAAACCGCTTTCTGAAAAAAAATGGAAAACCGAAAAAATCAGTGAGTTTCATTGCTTTGAAAAAGACCGGGGAAAATCAGAAAGTTTGTAAAAGAGTCGTTAAAACTCGGAAAATTTCGAGACACAATGATATCTAGATATCATTGTTATCAGAATGATATCTCTGATATATAGAAATACTATCTCGACTTTGTTTTAAATCTGTTCTTAAATTGAACTCAGAGAACTGGCAAAGTAGTATCAGGCTTACTTTAATATTTAAAAAAGTGAAATATTGTACAAATCGTATTAATAAAAAATGAAAATAATGCCCTGGAAAACCGGGAAATTCATTCAGATGTGACCCAGGAAATGAGTGGCCACTTTGAAGAATGGAAGCCGATGTTCACAAGCATGAGAACTTTCTTGCGAGTCACGGCTCGCCGCTTCTGTTCATTATCCAAAGCCGCCGTATATCTTTCCAACGCATGTGCAGTCCGCACGCGAAAAGAAGCGAAAGTTTACCTCGGGCATTGTCACGGGCGCTTGCGTAGGAGAATTCACTCTTGCTGCCACTGTAAATTTAATTAGCCCAGTGTTATGGTTTTATTACTCTTTCTTGCAGGATTGCAAGCGACTACAAGCAATTAACGCACAAGTACGAGCAGAGTAGTGTCCATCGTAAAAGACAAATGGCCGTTGTCGGTATGAAGAAAGTATTGTATTAGGTAGAATACGTTCCAGAAGTTATGAAAAGTACCAATGTATCGAGTCAAACATGTTAAACTCTCAGCATTGGAATGCAATAGTCTTAGAGTTTTCGTTCTTTTTCTGACGTTTCGTCAAAATAAATTTGACCTCTACAGGGAAGTCATAGAAAACAGTGAATGATACAATTTTACTTGTGTGGACAATTACAATTAAATAAAACGTTTACCGTACGTAATCAATTTAGAATATTGCCAGATTTTACGCATCAGTTTAGAAATTTCACATATTTTGGATTTGAATTTTGGCGAACTGAGAAACTGAGTAAAAATAATAATTATAATTTACAGGTTTTTTGCGGTTTTAATAATAATATTAAATAATAATATAATATATTCAGTTTTACAGGAGATAGAGAGAGAGAGAGAGAGAGAGAGAGAGAGGGAGAGAGAGAGAGAGAGAGAGGGAGGGAGGAAGAGAGAAAAAGAGAAGAGAAGAGAAGATAAACTGATCTTACAAAATTGTAATCTGTAAATGTAAATTCAGTGATATGTTCTACATATTTACAGAAAACAAATTCGAATAGTATAATTACACTAGAAATTTATTTACATTTACATTTTATAGTTGTTTGTTCAACCACTTTCCGGCGGAACGTAGAAGAGAAAAAATTGACGAAGAAAACTTTGATATTATGTAGCAACACGTTACAAAGCGGTTCATCACAGCAGAGGATTTTATTCGTGTCAATTAAAAGCATAGGACGTAAAGCATCACGCAAACTCTTATCCTTCTCAAAAAAATGAAACTATTCAACTTTCAACGATTGAAGCACAATTAATAATTTAATCCATACACTGTATATTGCCAAGTCGAGGACTACGGTGCCTTATCAATGGAGACTGGATTTCAATGCAAATTCAATTTTTACTCTGCAGTCGTAATTGGTGTGCCCATGAAACACAGTATTTGAATTTAATTAAACATGATTTTATGATGTTTTTTGTATCTGATTTCTTAATACTCACCACTTCTACAAATTGATAAGTACTAAAATATAATGCTAATTGTGAAGTTATTGAGCGGTGTAGTGACAATAAAGTGCCAGATGAATGTAATGTGCGTAGAAAACACAAAGAGAAACCATGTTATAATGCATATTTAATGAATCTTTTCGGGTTTTGTACCGCGTATATGCATACATCTGTATTTCGCATATTATTAGTGCCTATAATATCGGTTTCTACTCGTCCAATTTTTTTTTATTTGATAAACATGTACACAGTTTTAAAAATGGTGAATTGGACTAACTTGTTCAAGTGTATGGCTCCATTAAAGATTGTCAGCATAAATGAAAGATTGGTCTTAAATAAACCGAACGTTAACTTTACACAAATTAATAATTTTCTCACTAGTTAATCATAAGAAAAGGAAATTATTTGCATGTTAAAGCTGCGCCAGTCTAATATCCGCACTGTGAGTATCCTCCTGTGCGGAGTAAATCCTTCAGGTTTTGACTCGAACGTAACCTACCCGCGTGTACGGTTACTAAAAAGATGGACTCAGGTGAATGAACTCTACTTTTGCGTGACCAGATATGCAACACTAGCTTAAAAGAGAGAGAACAGGGGGCTAATTGCTGTACATATTGCGGCCGTCTCGTCCACTCTCGAGTTATTTGTTCATTGTGACATTGCGACCCCTCTTTTCAGTGTTGGGTGACAAGGAGGTCGTGACGCCGTGTAGCGCATCCGACCTAACGACCCTGTGCGGCAGAGTAGCCAGTCGTGACGATAATTATTATCCCGTGCGCGCGTCGCGTTGCCAACATCCCCGGACGCATATCGCGCTGCGGCAGCCGCAACCGGAGCACGTGACCCTGGCGCCGCGGAGAGTGATCCACGCGCACGCCCTGCGCACGCCCTCCATCTCACTGTACTTGACACCCGGGCCAATGTTTTCATGACACACGGTAGCATGTTATATGAAGTAACACCTAATGGCAAAATAAAAATAGTGCAAAAATCTGAAAATGAAGAGGGTATGAAAAGAAAAGACTGATGCAAATGATTTATTTTTTTTTAATTTAATGTGAGTTTCAATTCAATATAATATTGACGGTAAGTTTTGACATGAAGTAAGCTTAAAGAGTTCAATGGCTTTTCTAGAAGAACAAATCGTTGAATTGTGGGATGCACTATACAATTTGTTGATTAATATTTTAACTTTCTTTGGAATTGTGAATGCATATTTCAAAAATTAGTGATGGTTAAACGCATTAAAGTGATTAACACGACGTATGTTAATGGTGATTTGTTTCTTCCGCTTCAAGTCGGTGGCCTTCTTAATGGTACCATATAATGTTCGTTTTCTTTGCTCCAACGATTCTATTATGCGATCACACTAAGAAAAAAACCGGATGTAAACAAACTGAAGAAACATTTTGCGCCGAACCTATTCAAATGGAATAAGAGCTCTCATCCAAATGTCATGTTCATCCAACTACTTGATTTATGATCAATCTGCTTCAGGAAGTGGTTGTCAATAACCTGATGTCAATTATTGTCATGTATAAATTGGTTGGCTTAAAATTCGGAAGTTCTTGATTACAATTGACTAGCAGCAACAGTTTCACAAGCGTTGTTGTTTCGTTTCTGCATTTTTGCCCGTTTTATGCAGGGAATCGATAGAAAAACCCTGACTTCAAAGTCATCTAATGCTTCAATGTCAGGTTTCTTCCCTTTCTTTTCTTCTCTTGCGTTTGTAGTTTTCCCTTGTCAGTGAACTTTTTCCGGAGTTCACTGGCTACGGATATTCCAGTGAACACTGCAATTTGCTTCACCGGTAACAACGGATTCATACGCAATAACGAATTTACGTACGCTTTTCGCTACTCCGAAGCAATTTTCCACGCTTGTGTTTATTGAACGGCCAGCCACACTAAGACATTGTAAAACGAACTGAATAGCAGAGCCTCGCAGGACGATGGGCGGCGCGGCGCCGCGGTCCCACGCACCTGGCCCACGGCGGTCAACGCGTTCACGGGCTGAACTGTCTAAGGTTCGTAATCTTATCGCAAAGCAACACGCAGTCAGTTCACATTGGCCTCCCTTCTCGACACCGTTGCAATCGTTTTAAAGCGAGATTAATATAACGGACGATGGAAGATAAATTAGTTATTATACAGAGAACTATTTACTTTAGCGTCAGGATCCCTACAGCAGAGCTCACTCTGCAAACCAATGAGATTCATTCTAACACACGTGCATTTGTTTACATCAGGATTTTTCTTAGTGTAAACGGATAATAGGCACATGAAACACGATTGTTCGGAATTCCGTTTCTTTGTGATTTTGTTCCGCAATTCGGAGCAAAATCAACACAAGACTGCGGTAAGGGTAGATCTTAGATATTTTTTACGATGTACGTTTTTCGCAGAGCTACTAGTGTGAAAGTTAAAAGATGTACGTGAGTTGTTACGATCAAAAGATGATACGTCATCGAAATTCGGGCTCTCAATATGAGTTCGAACTGCCATAAATCCTCACTATTAATATTGAAAGTTCAGTTGAGGTTTTTCATGGTCTCTACCACCTCTATCTTCACTGCATTAACAGACTCATAGCACGCCGAGTCTAGTTTTACTTAGCACATTTATAGTGTGTTAATTCCTGGGTAATAATTTCTTCGGTTTACAACATCGATTGTAAATGTTTCCTTTCATATCTATTTACATAACACGTGTGGCAACGAAATTTTCGCAGAGCAAAGTTTGTGAAAACTGCCTTCTGGAAACGCATTTTTATTTGCGCTCGACTGCGTTATTTATGTTGTTCCAGTGCTTATCACATCCTGTTATTTTAGGAATAATACTTATTGCCGAGTGTTGGGAGTAGAGGGGAAGGGGAGACAGGCACTTGGGGTTTTTTAAGAGAAGTTCAGGAAGTCTGTGAATTCACCAAATCATTTCTGTTATGTGTGGGGTACTTAACGACTAAATCTCAAAAGACACCTCATTTCTCCAATCGGCAGAAGGTATACGAGTTGTATTTTGAAAAAATGAGGATAATTGTTTGTCAGCACAGAGCTGTTGCCCATGTTGCTCCCGCTATTTAAGATTCTGGTTGCATGGAACCCACCCATCTATGCCATTTGTCGTACCACAGGTGTGGAGGTGACCTAGAGATATTACAGATTGCTACTTTTGTTCAACGAAAGTAACAGGAATCTCAGTTAAATCAAAACACATCTTATCCAAATTCGGAATCTGCAATGAGCCCAGTTCCGCATTCTGATTTTCTCCCAGTCCAAAACCACTACCGAAATGGATGATGAAAGAGACGATGGTAGTGACAAACCAACAGTTCGCGGGGCGAGTCGAAGCTGGACGAAACGCGTCGAAGCTGGACGAGACGCGTCGAAGCTGGACGAGACGCGTCGAAGCTGGACGAGACGAGTGGAAGCGGGGCGAGACGCGTCGAAGCGGGGCGAGACAAGTGGAAGTGGGACTTACATAGGCGAAGACAAGTGTGGTGAAGCAGAGCAGGGCTAAGCGAAGCGGGGCAACGCGAAGACGAAGCGCAGTGGGCGGGTGAAGCGGTGCGGGGTGGATAAGGGTGGTATGCGGGCAGGAGGGCGGGGCCGGTCTCGTGCAGACCGCAGAGCTTCCGCCAGCGCCGGATGTTGTGGCCCGTCTCGTGTTCACGCCTCCGGGGCACAAGAAAAGCGAATGGGTTTGGAAAATATTGCCCGCAGAAAGAGTAACGAGGTTGCCGGTATAAACGTGCGGTAATTTTCAGAACGTTTTGAAATTTCGTTTTCCCAGCAATCGTCTTGGTGTTGTTTACAAATTTGAGTAATTGTAAGTCCGGTTCTAAATTCAAATGCTTAGTTTATCTATTTCCGAAATTCATGCTTTTTTCTTCAAAAGTTTATATTAAGAACAACATCGTGAATAGTACTGGGAATACGAAGTCTTAAAAATGTTATAAATCGAG